GGCTGCTTGGAGTGCTCAATGTTAAACCTGGAAGTGTGGCAGGCCTGATGGTGCGTCTCCTGTCCTTCAGGGGTGGCTGAAACGCAGTGGCCTAAGAGGAACTGCGGTGAATTTCTGCTCGCGATGTAGGATCATGGCGCCATCTGCGGCTCCCTTCCTGAGTATTGTCTTCTTTGAGACGCCAGATGGCCGAGGTTGGACTGGAACCAGGCGGCTACAGAAGACCGAGCCACGCCGCCCCCCAAGCCCCGTTGAGTCGTCGTCGTGCGCAATGAAAGGAATCCGACCTAGCATCAGATCAAAACCCAGGATATGAGAGAGGACATTTTCAACGGCGGCAGTACCAAGTAGTCGAGACGAAGACTCGTGACCTAGGTTCTGCCTGGGGCCTAGTAGTGCCCATGGCATAGGATAGGTAGCTGCTATCAAAGCGTCACGCCGGATCGTTGATATCATTTGCCCTCATTGTCGGTTTTATAGTGGTAGAGTGCTGGAAGACTGAGGACAAGTCGGTAGCCAGACGAAGAGATCGAGTTAGAGCAGAATGACCTGTTGCCGCCCGCCCGCTCGTAAACCTGTCACATTCTTGATCCTTCGAATGTGTCTTTTTCTAGATCAGGCAGCATGAGTTTCTTTGTGTTTTGGACATTGATCTTAAGTGTTGAGTTTGTGTTGGTGTGATTAGTAAATGGTCGCGGGGAAAGGAAAACCACTACCGTCAGGAGGGCACCATCGATGCTGTTAACCTCGGCGTTGATAGGCACAAAAGGTTCCCGAGGAACAACCCAAGGATTGCGTCTATCACCCACGCCGCGCCCCGGCGGTAACAGTGCGTCTCGGGCCCAAAAATTTCTACTAACTACCTCGGTCACCGTGACAGTCATGTGCTCCTTATCTCTTCCCACCATGCGACTCTGCTGTCTGGACATGAGTTGTAACCTGGTTTTGGCGTTTCCTGCAATGCTTGCGCCGCCGCTTGGAGTCCTTTGAAATGCAGCAAACACAAGTTTAACCTGGTAGCGATTTTGGCCCCCCCTGGTCCGAGGTCCTGAACCCGTAACTGCCCCTGCTTTCCAACATCGTCAACGATTGACAGAGGGGAAGGGTCGGGCTGGCATCCCCCTTTCCGCAATTTCCCCTTTTTCCTCAGGGTTTTGATTGTACCTTACCCTCCCGCGGCGGAAGACCATGCCCGATGCCATATTGGACCTTGGCGGGGGCCTGCCTCTCCAACAGCAGGACAGGGGCTGCTGGGTGACTGGCGGGAGATAACAAGATTTGTAATAAAGCCGAGCGAAAACCTGAGCCGCGGACCGAGAATGTGATGTGATGTGACTCTGAGAAGCCGGGCACCTTTACTCATCTCGCTCGAATATGTGGTAATTCCGAGTCTGCGATGGCACCGCAGGGAGGGCCGCGATGGAAGGAAGGAAGCTTGGCGGGCGGATAACAACTCGCAATAACGCGTGTTGGGCGTTTACCTCACAGGGCAGAGGCACCTCGGTTCGTGCGGCGATGCCGCCTCTCAGGCCTGCCATTGGATCCTCCAAGCGCTCACAAAATGATAGTGGCTTCCCCTCTGCCCGGTGCCGTTCGTCTATGGGGACTGGAGGTGCCGCTGCAATTGCTGCTGCATTTGCATCCAATAGCAATATTGCCCGTATCGGGCGGCAACTTAAAGTCCTTCTGGGGGGCCATGCGGATGGGATTCCTTTGCACATCCTGTCTGCTGGGACACATTTCATTTTCCATGTACGTTTATCGAGACAGCTTCCTTCTCCTGAGACCCATTTCACGTCCAACTGTTCGGGAAGCTATCTCGTTTAAGTGGCCGCTGCAAGGCGATTTCCAAGCTCTTCTCGAGCTCGCGCGCAGTGGCAGAAGCGCCTGTGCCATGGGATAAATCCTACCGGAGGGGCGGGGAGACCTGCTAAGGCGACCTGTTCTTGAGGCCCGGGGTAGTTTGACCTGATCTCTCGGTCCAAACTGACCAGTGTGCCAGCCACATTCAGCCTCCCTGGGCCATAAGGCTGTATCCCAAAAGTTGATGCCTGTCCAGGAGTTGTAATTCCGATGATGCTACGCCCCGGGCGAGGAGAAGAATTGTCCGTCATTTGCGGCACTTGGACACAGGTCATCATCCCTAGCCTGCATCCCGGAATCCTCCAACTGCAGGCCGAACCAACGGCGGAGACGGCGTGTGGCCACGCACAGCTACAAGCGACAATGGAACAACTTGTCCCTCCAAGTAGCCGACATGTAGCTCCAACGGCGCCTCCCGCTGCGGCTGTCAGGACTTGGCTGTGAACACAGATTGGATATGCACACCCCTTTTCTGAAGACACGGATGTAGGAGTAGTCATGGCTCCCATCAAGACGCAGGGGAATAAACGGAAGGATGAACCCTCTTCGAAGTCCCAACGACTCCGTATATTCTGCTTGGATGTGTGTTGTGTGAAGTCGGCGGATATGCATCTCCAGGCGAGGAGCGAGCTGCAGACCAGTGGCGGCACGGCGGCTGCTATTTTCTGGATGTGTGCAGCAAAACGGAGTGCCGTTTCGTTCCCGCTGTATTTTCGTCGCAGATGATCAAATATGCCATGTAGGCTCAAAACGGCGGCAGTATAGAAAGGAACTAGTGGGGAAAGCGTAACATCACTCTTTGGGACCACTTCATCTACGCACACCCTTTCAGTTGACTACGACAATCCTTAGGGCTGGACACAGTATGGTTCACTGTGCCTTCCTTCCACTCGTTCTGATGGCTACTGGACAGGGCCTCAGCATGGTCCAACTAGAGGGTCCAGATCCTGTGACTTTAGCTTCATGAGTTTTGAGAAAGCGAAGACGCCGCAAGCAACAGTCGACTCTCGACCACGATATCAATGTACCTGGCCCCTTGGCGTGATGGATTCAAACATGAAGTTGCTTGGTTCCCGAAGGGTCTTGTCAGTGTGGTAGATCAGTAAAGAATCCAATGAATGAGGGCTCCCCTGTTGCCACAGAGGTGTGGCCGAATGCCTATATTGCAGTAATTTAGCTGCCTGGGAACAGTCACGGCCTTGATTCCACACTCAAGCATGTCTCAATAGAAACATTGGCCGATTCTGAAACGACAGAATATTCCATGACCGCAAAACCGGGGGCCACAGGCCGACTTGTTGGTGTTGGATGGCCCTTTGTGATGATTCTATCTGGCTGGCGGGACAGGGTGCGCCCGTATCTCTAATATGGCCAACGAAAAACGCCCCTCTACGATGCCCTCGTAGCCTAGCCAATGAATATAACATCTCACTCCTCTGAACGCTACCTAAAAATGAGTGCTGCAGGCGGTTTCAGTGTTTTGTGGCTGCCAAAAGCCCATTTGCTCCGCCCCCACGGCGTGGGGATCCAGTCAACGAAGGACCTCGGTCCTTTGATTCCAGCATCAATGGAGCATAAAGAAAGAGGCGAGTTTTTGTCGCTCTGAGGATTCATCCCCCCGTACAGACCCAGATCTATCCACCGCCGACCCTGCAGAATATGACAATGGCATGGGGAAAAGACAAAGTACCTACACAGCCAATCGTGAAACTGGCGTCGGTGGCTGACCAACGGCCTGATAGGCCAGGCTGCGAGGACGGCGCAGGCCCATCTGTGCCACCAACGGAATGCTTCCACTGAAGTTCCACGCGCTTCAGCGGCGGGTTGCGGGACGGCGGGCTAAAACACAGAGGGGGTGGCCAGTTTTGGGGGCGCTGCGAAGCCAAACAGTTCTGAGCACATGGCTTTCGGGGCCGAGGTTGTTTCGACCGCCCCAGGGCATTAGACGAGGTTGAATTCTTGCGTTTCTTGTGCGCAGCACGCCATTTTACGACATGTTTCTTCTCCGTTTGCACTCCTAAGCAGCCGATAAGTGTTTTAGCTCCCAAATAATGGACCGGGGGGAAACGTGAAAGAAACGGAACTATAACTTCGAGTTCTACAGTTTAACACAAAAATACGAAGAAGAGCTGCCCGACTTCGTAGCGCCAAGAGCTGTGCCAGTCCTTCAAAACCTGCGATCCAACGTGGCATCGTCAAGTCATGGCCCTGTTTGATCCAGCTCCGCAGGTCTACGTACCTAGTCCTCGGCCCCGGCCTCTACCGAACCTCTCCGATATCTTGTTGCCAACCTAGTTCGCTGTCGGAGTCCCTAGCAACCCACCACCACACCACTGCAGGGCAAATTCTACATGGCTAGTAGGTGACAAACAAAAAGGCTGGCACGCACCGTACGTCGATGTCAGTTTATACGGCCCAGGCACGTAAAACCCAAGCCATTCGAGCCATTCGAGCCATATTTACGCGCCATTGCTGTGCGAGTGACAGAAACATAAAAGCGGCAGGCATTGAAGATGGCCCATAGCTACTAGTAGTACCTATATCTGTTGTTTCTATTCAGTCTGTTCGGGGGATGGTGTACAGAGCAACGACAATGGAGATCCCTCCCCCACCTTCCCGCTTATCGTTGAAGCAATGGTACGTTCCCCACTGCATTCACATGTTTTGTCTCCCTTTATTTTTTTCCGTCTTTTGCAAACACGAACGACAGGCTTGAATAAAAGAAATTAAAGAAAATTAAAATTTATCAGGCTAGCAGAAAGAGCACCGAAGGACCAGCACGACGAGAGTGTAGATATATAAGTTTTTGCAGTGGGGTTCACTTTGCCCGGCTTGCTGCTGAGATGCCGCTTTGAGAGTCTGCATTATGCATTCAGGGGCTTTGTTGACACGTCTGAACTGGGGGTGACATGCCTCCAACCAACAACCTCCACGGGGTTTAGATACAAAACAAAGGCTCATAGAATTGCATAATATAGCCTTACGTATTAGGTAGTAGCTACCAAGTTTTATAGCGTACAAAATTGACTGCATACTTGTCCTAGAAAGAAATCACGCAACTACACAGATTGCAGTAAGCAACCCCAAAAAAATTTAAAAAATATGAACCACCTCTAGCTAGAGAGATGATAAAAGTTTGACCGCGGCAGGGCTCGAACCTGCGATCCTCTGCGAACATTTTCATGTAAAGCAGATGCCTTAACCACTGAGCCACGCAGCCTTGCATACACAGTCTGGAAATGGTCCACAAGAGGATACTCTGGTGGAGCGCCGGTTCCTGCTCGGAGAGCTCTTGGTGCGAGGTAGTGAACCCCTTTTCCAACCGATTTACCCTCCAGTGCTTCTCAATTCTTTGAATTGTTAGCTTGAAAATATTGTCAAGTTTGTAAAAGTGTTTGTTGGTTATTGGTATCCCACTTTGAAAGACTTGCCATTCAAACTTCTGGGGTGTATGAACTATTCCATTGAACTCAGCCTTAAAGTTAGGGCCTGCATCGCTTCAACTACTTGCTGTTCACCTTTCATAGCATGCGGTTGGGGCCTTGTATACTACTTCATGCTTCTGGCATTACTAGCCATCCCCCTTCCTAGAAGTTGGGGCGATACACATCATCATGTTTCCCCACCGGTGATCCAAACCACTTCTACCCTCCCGATACAGGCTCCGGTTTACCAAGAAGATGTTACTCGCCCTTAATCCCTGTCCCAAAGAACATAAGCTCCTCCCGCACCGCAATCCCTACCTGGAAGCTCGTATCCAGTTCCACCTCCTCGATAATGTTTCCTGTCCTTGTATCCAAGACACCAGCCCCCCAGTGGAGCGACCGCCACGCCGGCACCGTCCTCGACATCGCCCAGCTGCACCCACACCCGCTCGCCGTTCTGACCATCAGCCCGACCGTGTAGTATAAAGGAACCATCTTCGCTGGCACCTCGAGCTACGAGGAGCCCGCACCCAGCTACTTCCCCGACTACACCTTCTCTTACATCGGCAATATGGACTGACTGGGCCTAGAACAGGCGCCGAGGAGTGCACCAAAAGAGGGACCACATTCCTCAAGCCTCTCTTCTGGGCCCAGTCCTCTCGCAGCCTTCTTCTGTCCTGGTAACCGTAAGACGCTGGACATGGCGCTAAGCAAGCTCCGAGGGTGGGGGCGACTTGTGTCGACGTTCCTAACATCCGTCATGGGATGTCGTTTTGCGCACGTGATCCATACCAAAAACATCTATGGCGGGCTTAAGTAGTGGGAATACTAATGTAGTGAGAATACCTATGTTGTCGGAATGCACACTGTTTCTACCCGGCTTAGCGTGGTGCAGCAAGTGGGGCGAGGGACCATTTTTTGACTGCGAAACTCCAGAACTTCGGCTGTCCTGCCACCTACCTATCAAATGCTCTGGCATCGCGCGCCCAACGTTAGCCGATTTCTTCGTCGATGCCTCTCCAACATCTCGCCCGCCACACGCCACACGCCTCCCGGTCGTCTAGTTTACCGTCCAGCCATCAGAATGGCATCTACCATCGTGGGCAAATCCGGTAGCGTGTACATTCAAGGCGAAGTGCTTCAGCGTCGCCAGGACCGCAAGCTCAGCATCTTCAAAGCAGACTAAGTCTCCAAATCTCCCTTTTCTCACCTTGTGGCTTAGCCCTGTCTCTGATTCATCTCGCCCAGATGTGGGAAAGAGTCCTTTGTCTTCAAACGCGTGCCAAGGCCCTTCTTCGAGCTGTCTCTACGCCTCGCGGACGAGTTTTGCAGATTCTCACCGACTTCGAATGCATCTTGACAGCAACCAAGACGAAGGCATCCTCATCTACCCTTATTTCAAAGACACCCTACTCGCCTTGATCAAAAAGGAGCCAGACTTGTCGCTCGCTGGACGAAAGAAAATTCTGCGCTGCGTCGGAGAGGCGATACAAGAATTCCACAGCAAGAACTGGATTCAAATAGGTATGTGTGCGTGTGCGTGAGTGTGTGCCTGTAACCCAGAACATGCACAAAGTCGCTAATCAAATTCTCCATGACAGGCGTGAAACCGGATAACATTCTGGTCAACTGGAGCTGTGACGAGGCGGGCAAGACGACAATTGGCGATGTCGCTCTGGGCAGCTTTGATATCGCCTTCAAGTCCGAGCATGGTGAACCGCGTGAAACCCCTCACGCAATAGGGAACGCCATGTGGCGAAGTCCAGAAGGACAGACCGGAAGAGGAGTGACAAAGGCGTCGGACATCTTCTCCTTTGGATTAGTGGTAAATCAGCCCGGCCCGTCCCCAGGGCCAGGAAAAATCATGCTAAGCTCGGTTGACGGTGCATATACACCTTTGGGGGTGGAGATCTCCTGCTCTTGAGCGGCGACGAATACCAGCAGATCACCCAACGCGGTATAAGCCCGGAGCAGGAGATTCTGACCCGACACTTTTCCTATTTTGGGCCCGCGGCCGAAGGGCTCCTCCGGCAAGTCGGCAGCCCGGATTGGTGTGATGCCCTCAAGGAAGCATCAGCGATGGCCGAGCTCGCGGCCAAGGAACAACCCGAGCGACGGTTCGAGCATTGGGGACCTCAGGTCCCGCGGTGCAGGACCTGATATCTGGAATGATCAATCCAAACCTAACGGCGAGAATGAGCATAGACCAAGTCATGGCGCATCTGTGGTGGCAGGAGGAGACTACCGAGTAATTACTACCATCTACTAGGTGGGAGACCTCGTCCCTCTTTTTTTGCGACGCACATTCAGGTCACACTAGGAAGTCACGCCGGACGCGATTGGACAAACATATGCAACAGATGTAATATTAGACCAGATAAAGCCACGTATCCTTCTCGTCAGCCCCCCTTCAACCCTTGTGACCAATGATGCTTTGCGTTCTACTTTGGGGGACTCCAGTCGATATTGAACGTGATGTCAGGATACAGTTCATCCTTCTGCAAAACGTGGTCCTGTGTGGTTACACAACCGATCCGACTCCCGATGATTAGGAGTTGCTGATTCAGGCATCCAACATCCACTGCCAAGTGCCGAAATAAATGCCATGGCAAACCTATCAGTGGCTAGGCTTGGAAAGCTTGAGATGATAATATGCCGACGAAAAAAGCACGTCTACTTAGTACTACTGAGTTTGGAGAGGTGAAAGCCCTGGCAAAGCGCCACACATGAGTACATTTGTTGATATGGCTGACGACCAGATCATTCTGCACAGTCACATTATCAGCTCTCGCGGCGCTCATTTCTGACGAAGGGACAGGCGATCAAATGTTTGGGAGACAAATTATCAGAAACGGGTCAGTAGGCAAGGGCTCTATCCCTTACCTCTAACCTCGCCTCTTCCCGAATCTATTTCCCTGCTATAGCCTAACCTAACCTTACCTAACCGCTGGTTTCCTCGCCGCTCTTTGCAAGCAATAAACAGTATAATACAACAAAAGTTTTTAACTTCCATGGTTGTTCGGGTAGTTGGTGTTCCAAAAGGGGTCCGACACAAGAAAGTTCTTCCGTATCGGTGAGAGATTGAGCTTTGCTGTAGTCTATTGTTGGGATGTCTTTCTTCTTTTTCTTCGCCGCCATGTCGTGCCGAAAAGAAATCGAAGAATGGATCAGTATTTTTCTCCGCGAGGGCTCGGACGAGGGAGGGCAGGATGGCATACACCACCCACGGAGAGGTGCCCGGGCGAACCCAGGCATCCCCCTCGGTCTGCTGACGGTGGGCCTTGATGAGTGGCGCCACGACGTCGCCATTTCAAGGCGACTCAGACGTAGTCGATGCGGGCCTCAATCTCGTCAATTGTGGTCTCGATCTTCTGCCACAACCCCTCCTTCAGCGCCCGGTTCACGGCCAGAGACTGGCGGCGAGCTTCGGCAAGGTTCCGGTCGTTGACATTCTCTGACTTGGACAGCAGGGCGGTCTCGTGCCGCAGTTCCTTCAGCGACACAACCACGCGGTTGGCCGCATCCCAGTCGTCGCCGAGCTTTTTCAGCTTCTGGCCTAGAGGGTGGCCGGAGATGGCCCGCACGTTGGCCTCCGCATTGCTGCGGAGCTTCTCCAACGTCGCGGGATCGGACAAGTCGCCGAGGCTGGTGAGGTACTCGTCCCGGAGTCTGTCGTACTCCGGGCGCTCTTCCGGGGTGAGGATCTGGATGCCTCGTGCGATCTGTACAGGTAGACGTCATTCAACCAATGTCTCGCAGACATTGTATCCATAGCTGCTGAAGAGGAAAGGGACAGGGAAGTGTGGAGAAGCACGGAGCGATGAAGGCCATGGAGGCTCCAGGAGTGATGGAAGAAACGGGGGACGCGAAAGTGATTGGTCACTTGCAACGTACAATAATAAACCGGGCGGGATCGTACCAAGCCCAAGCTCCCCGAACGAGGCCGAACTGCAGCCGATGGGTTACCATTCGCCTGATCGTTCTGAACCTAGCATCGGGCGCCACCCCGATCGCTGCGTAGTAGTCGGACCAAGCCTCTACCAGACGAATCCGAGCTGGCGCGGGCGGTTCTTCGCGCGCTTGGCCCGAAGGCACCGGCGACGATGACGCCGTCGACAACGATTCATCGTCGCTGCTGGGCACGCAATCTTCGTTCATGCCTGAGGAGCTGTCGTTGGCATGAGGCAGATCCTTGGCTCCCTTGGAGCAGGGCGGGCGGGACAGAGGCTGCGAAGCCATTTCGAGGAGTGATGGCAGCAAGTATTTCGCCTATTGAGTTGTTCATATCGGTCTCCAAGCCACACGACTCTCGCATTTACATACGTAGGCGATATAAAATATGGCGTTTACTCTCGGTCGAGAGAGACTGCTCGACTTAGGGAGAGAGCGCTCCGAAGATATAGAGAGGTAGTGAGGATGGTGCGTTGACTAGGTTACCTAGAAATATTTGGGGAAGAGATAGTGCGAGCGGTGGAGATAGCAGGAGGACGGAAATTATATCTCTAGAATTGCAGGAAGAAAAGTCTGGAAGCAGCGCCAAACAGAGGTATCTAGTGCGAGTGGAGAAAATATGAAGGCCTGAAAAATATCTTTCGGAGGGCGCGAGGTGAAAATCTGGATGCGTGGGAATCAGGTCGACTAGAGGGCGATGTGCGGGGGAGATCAAGAGGGCAAACGAAGTAAAATACAGGCAGGCAAATCGTGCCGACAGATTAGGGAATCACGCGGCCAACCAAATTGTTGAGGAAAGCTCGCGAAATATCGGACGAGACTGTGCAGTCAGTCCCGCACGCGT